TAGCTGTGTAGTGATACCTTTATCTTATTGTGGCTTTAATTTACATTTCCCTGTGGCTAATGATGTCAAATATCTTTTCATGTGCTAATTTGTCATCTGTATATCCTTTTTGGTATACATCATCTTTTATGAATTTCCTCTTCACATCTTTTGCCAAATTTCTAAGTTTTTTTAACTGTGGAATTTTGAGGTTTCTTTATACATCCTAGATATTAGTCCTTTGCCAAATACGTGGTTTTCAAATATTTTCTCATAATTTGTTTTTTAACCTCAGCACATGGACTCTCACAGAGTAAGTTTTTACTTTTCACAGAGTACAATTTATCAATTTTTTCTTTTACAATTTATGCTTTTGATGTCATGATTAAGAACTCAACCTAAATCCTCAAAATTTTCTCATATACTTTTTACTAAAGTCCATATCTTTCTATGTTTAATATTTCATCCCATGGTCCATTTTCAAATGATTTTTGTATACAGTGCGAGGTATAGATTGAAGTTCATATTTTTTGCTTATAGATGGTCCGATTTCTCCAGCATCATTTATTGAAAGACTATTTTTCCTCCATTGAACTGCTTTTACACCTTTAACAAAAATCAATTCTTAAAAAATTGAGCACATTTGTGTGGGTGTAGTTCTGAGTCCTCTGTTCTGTTCCCTTGTCGTATGTGTCTGTCCCTCCACCCAGACCACATGATCTTGATTGCTGGAGCTATCTAATAGCCTTAATATCAGGTAAAATGATTCCTCTTGCTTTATTCTTCTTTGTCAGGATTGTTTTAGCTGTTATAAGGCTTGCACATTTCCATGTAAATTTTAGAATATGTTTGTATCAAAAAAAAAAAAACCCTGCTGAGATTTTGACAGGCATTTTGTGAAATCTATAGATCAGTTTGGGAGGACTTGACTTCCTTATTATGGTGAGTCTTTGATTCATGATCATGGTATTTCTCCCCGCTTATTTAGGTCTTCTCTGATTTTTAAATTTTATCAACATTTTGTAATTTTCAGCATATATCAACTGTACATGTTTTGCTAAGTATATATGTAACTAGCATTTCATACTTGGAATGCTTATAAATAATATTGGTTTTAATTTTGATTTCCATATGCTCGTTGTTAGTATACAGAAATGTAATTGATTTTTGTGTGTTGATCATATATCTTGCAGTATTACTGAAATTAGTAGTTCCAAGAGTGTTTTTGTAAATTCTTTAGGATGTTTTCTGTAGATAATCATGTCAATGATCATCTGCAAATGGAGACCACTTTATATTTACCTTTCCAAACTGTATGCTTTTTTTTTTCTTTTATTTGCCTCATTGCAGTGACTATAACTTACAGTACTGTGTTGAAGAGTGGTGAAAGTTGACATCTTGGTTGTTCTCAATTTTAAGGGAAAGCATTCAGTCTTTCACCATTAAGTATGATGTTAGCTGTAGGTTTTTCATAAATGCTGTTTATCAAATTGAATTGTTCACCCTCTATTCCTAACTTGCTGAGAGTTTTTATCATGAATGGGTGTTGGATTTTGGCAAATGCTTTTTCTGTATCAATTAACATGATTATATGAATTTTTTTTCTTTAGCTTGATGATATAATGCATTATTTGATTGCTTTTGAACACTGAGCCAGTCTTGCATACCAGGAATAAATCCTACTTGTTTATAGTCTGTACTTTTTATATATTGTTTGATTTTATTTGCTAATATTTTGTTGAAGATTTTCATATCTAAGTTCATGAGAGATATTGGTTTTTGTTTTGTTTTATTTTGTTTTTGTATTGTCTTTGTCCAGTTTTAGTGAAAGGATAATACTGACATCATAGAATGAGTCAGGAAGTGTTTTCTCCTCTATTTTGTGGAAGAAATTGTGTGAAAATTGTATAATTCTTCTTTAAATGTTTGGTTGAGTTTGCCAGTGAAACCATCTGGCCTAGACATTTTTGGGGGGAAATTTTAAATCATGAATTCAATTTCTTTAGAGGTTATAGGGCTATTCTAATTATCTAGTTCTTTGTTGAGTTTTGGTAGTTTGTAGTTTTCAATGATTTGGTCCCATTTCTTCTAAATTGTCAAATTTATGTACATAAAGTTATTCATAGTATTCCCTCATTTTTTTTTTATTGTTAGAGACAGGATTCTCACTATGTTGTCCAGGCTGGTCTGGAACTTCAGACCTCAAGAGTTCCTCCCACCTCGGCCCCTAAAATGCTGAGATTATAGGCATGAGCCACTGTGCACAGCCCACTCTAATTTTTTAATGGCTGCAGAATTTGTAGTGATATCCCCAATTAATGGCTGATGCTGGTGATTTTTGTCAGCTTGCCAGGGGTTTATCAATTTTATTGATTTTTTCCAAAGAACCACTTTTTTATTTCATGGATTTTCTCTATCATTTTCATCTTTTCAATTTCATTAATTTATGCTGTTATCTATATGATTTCCTTCTTTCTGCTTTCTTTGAGTTTTACTCTTTATCTAGTTTGTTGAAGTAGGAACTTTGATTATTAATTTGAGGACTACTCATTTCTAAGTATTTAATTTAATGTTATAAATTTTCCTCTCTGATCTGCCTTTCCTGTATCTAACATATTTTGATATGTTTTATTTTCATTCAGTTCTATGTATTTTTTAATTTTCTTTGAGACTTTCTATTTGACCAATGGATTACTGAGAAATGTGTTGTTTAATTTTCACATGTTTAGAGAATTTATCTTTCTGTTATTGATTTCTAGTTTGATTCCATTGTGGTTCTAGAACATGCTATGTGTGATTTTATTCTTTTAAACTTTTTGAAGTTTGTTTATGATGTAAGTAAGATATGTTTGTTCTATCTTGGTAAATGTTCCATGCATGCTTGGGAAAAAATGTGTATTCTGCTATTATTGGGTGGAATGTTCTATATCTGCCAATTGGACCCTGTAGGTTGAATGTCTTGTTCAAATAGTCTATATACTTGCTAATTTGCTTTGTAGTAGTTCTGGAAAGATGGATAATAAAGTCCCCATATAATTATGGATTGATTTGTCTATTTCTCCTTTTAGCTCTATCAGTTTTGCTTCATGAATTTTGAAACTCTGTTTTCATTTTTTTCCCTAACCTCTTTTAAAAACAAAACAAAAAAAGAAGCAGCAAGCAATATTTCTGAACAATGGGCCTTGAGTAAGGAATTTATAGGTGTAATTCATCCTGTCTCACATCCTGTAACACAGAAATACTTGGCATACCTTACTTAAAAACAATGTCTATACATCCATTGGTGTCATCTGCTTCCATGAAAAAGAAAAATCATTACATGGTAGTAACTGAGGGCTCCAGCTACATTGGGATTTTCTTGGGTCTCTCTCATACTATGACCTTGAACAATTAGAGTGTCAAAATTCATAGCACAAGCAGGAGTTAAGGGCAGGGATAAAAAAAATGGACCTACTATTAAACCTAAGTTGGGCACAGTCACAGCTACATGGGTAATTTGGGCCTCACCATGCTTTCTATATGTGGAAAAATGTGTTGGATTAAAAACAAATTATCTAACACTTTGGACACCTTAATAAATGAATAGACTCAACTACCCAGATATATGGTCAAAACCAAAACAAAGCCAAAACTAAACAAAACCCTCCAATCCTTAATGAATGCTTACTGACCTTAGTTTTGGTTATCTGTGCATAAAGTCATCTTTGAAGATTTATCCTATCAATGGTTTCAAGTTACTGTAAGTGAGCAGTGATGATATTGAGGATTTACTTCCCATCATGAGGAATATTTGTAGATTACCTAGTGCAAAATAACAGAAGGATAGAATGATATATCACTACTAGGCATTTCAAAAGTGCAGCATATCATCACGCACTCTAACTAAAGAAACAGACATTTGCCTGAAACTTGCAACAAAAATGCCATTTTTGTAAATTTGGTAACAGCTTTTATCTTGGGAGTGGGGTGGGAGAGTGGGGAGTGGATTGGAACTTTTACTTTCTATGCTCTATATTTCTCTGATGTTTGGAAGTTTTAGTAAAGACCATGTATCACTTTCATAATTAAGCCGTTATAATAAATATTAATAAATATTGTTCTACATTGGAAATGTTGAGTTGACTCTTGTTTAAAAACAAGAAAGGGAATTATTTTTTAAAAGAAAATCAATTTTCATAAACTCAGTGCCTGTCCCTCTGGGGACAGCAAGGTGATGCACCAAGCTTGCTCCAGAGATGCTTTCCTTTTACAAATTCCATTTGGATTTTCGTTGTGTGACTGACTGTTTAATGAGCCACTTTAGCTGGCCTTTCCCCAGGGTTAACTCAAAACTCTTCCTAAATAATCTCAAAGTCATTTTGCTGGAGCAGGTGTTGTTTTCTAGCAGCTCTCGCCAAAGGGCAGCATACTAATTAACGGGCTTTGGATCTGGAGGATTCAGGGTCTCATCTCTGGCAAACGATATATGTGCCACACACAGTAATGCTACTTAAACTTACTCTTTTATAAGAAGATTTTGACACTGTAACAAAAGAACTCAGTATATTTCTAAATATTTATTTCTTTCTCTCTGAGAACAACTCTTGAAGGTTTAGGAATTATGTCACTCCTTGCAGCAAAATGAAGCTCTGTTTTCTGTAAAACTTGCCATTATATTTCAGGAACCGTGCTATTTCATTTCAGATACTTCACATGTAGCTAAAGTCAGTAACGCTATAAATTCCGGATGGGACAGATCCATTATGCAGCCTGCGCATTTATATTGAAACTGACTCCTAAATTTGCAAAGTGTTAGTGACTTGAAAAGGAATAGCATTCCATGATTCCTAGAGAATCAACATGAGGTTCGGATGTTTTCCAGGTTTAGTTTGATTTGGAGAAGAGGAGATGTTCTTAACTTCAGATGTTAACAACTAGATGTTCTAGATAAAATGCCTAAATGCCCAAAAATATTCATAGAGCTTCTTGCTGTGGTTTCCTCTATAATGCTTCTCTCTGACACGTCTTATCTGATATTTTAGGAGTTCGTGATGATTGTCGTCTTTGGTTTGGAGTTCATCATTCGAATCTGGTCTGCGGGTTGCTGTTGTCGGTATAGAGGATGGCAAGGAAGATTGAGGTTTGCCCGAAAGCCCTTCTGTGTTATAGGTGAATATCAAAGTCCCAAATACCTGGATTGGTGACACCCCACCCTCTCTCTCTCGTATTGCAACATTTGGTTAATATTAAAAGGTAACATCCATGGAGTACTTACCATGGACCAGGCACGCTTGGGGTTTTAAAATGTTGACTCATTTAATCCTCATCACAACCCTATGAGGTAGATATTTTATTATCTGTATTTTACAGAAGAAGAAACTGAGAGGCAAAGAGAGGCGAAGTAAGTTGCTGAAAGTCGTACAGGTAGTAAGCGATAGAGCTGGGATTTGAGCCAGGTGATCTGACTCTAAAACACCCAGTTCTATCGATTAAGTTACACTGAAATATATGGTTCACCTGTGTTGCCCTGATTTGGGGAAGCATTGATTTCAGTAAATATAAAAGACTCTTTTTGCTCTACAACATAACACTGGGTCATGCTCCTGATCAGCTGGAGTGAATGGCAATGTGTTAGTCCCAGCGATGCACATTAGTTAGCATGCTTCAGGAATTATTAAGAATATGGTTTACTTAATGCATTGATAACTTCAGACCTAACAGCATGTTCTACACTTTGAAATATGAGTCTCCCAACCCCACTCTACAATCACCAAATAAATAACACATACATCGCTAGCTGCTATGGTGTCTGAGGGACTCCATTCACCTGGGTTCCAGCTTAAAATTATACTTCTTAATGAAGATGCCAATGGGTATTCTGGAGTTAATCTCTGCCCTCTCCCAGTAATATATTTTAAAGTATTCTCACAAAATTGAAAACTCTCTATATAAAAGCAGTTATTATTAATCATTATTATTTGACAGCTAACTTTGGTTTTCTTGCCCTTTTGTCCTTCTCACTTCTTAGGCAGTCATTCAAACCCAAATACTGAAGTTCTTGATGAAGCTTACTTATTTCATTTATTTCCAATCTGAGAAAGTGGGTTTTTAATTTTATGAGGTACTTCAGATGATCTTCTTCATCTACAATGGGTTGTCCATTTTGTTTTCGGAGTCAGGAATCGTTGAGTCATCTGTTTCCTCCCTTACTCCTGTTTCCCTGTGGTTGGGGCAAAGTGGATTTAAGGAGGAAAGTGTCTCCCCATCCATGGGCACTATTAAGAAGAATCCTTTGTTCTATGCCTGTTTCATAGTATGCACATTTCAAAAAGTCTCCATTCATTCAACCAGAATTTATGGAAATCCGGCTGTGTGTGAGACACTGGTGTTACTAGTGAACCTAATAAAATTCTAAGTTAAATCAATCTTACAATACCTTGCTTGGACTTCGCTAATGCAGTCTATTTGTCCAGCTGTCTGGCTTCTCCAAGAATAGGCTTTACTTCTTTTTCAAGCTGTTATGCTAAGGTGTGGAGGAAAGTAGGTGGCAACTCCTAGCCTTGCAGGTCCTTCTAGCCCCAAGGCATATTAATAAAGGCATTTCATTTTTCTCTCTGGAGACTTTTTTCTCTGTCTGAATTCTCTGCTCAACCAACATTATGAAGGCCTGTAACTTGATACGAAACTACTGCACAACAAGTACTTTCTGTCCCATAAGGGGCCCAGACAAAACAATTCATAAGGCAGATGGTTGGCCAAGATTCACTCAACTTCTACAGGATAAGGTCGGTTCATGGATGACTGCAGGAATGTTTCATTTCAGATTTTAAAACCAATTAAAAATTGGTTTTGTTCCAATTCCAGAGGCAATGCCAACATAACTCTGGCCTCCACGCTAAAAAGAAAGTTCTTTCCCAGATGCCTGCAGCCTTTTGATAGCTGTTTTCAACTCTGGATACATCAGCACATCTTAGTCCTTTAAACTTTCTCTTCCTGTCTCAGATCCTTGCAGGTCTTGACATAACATGTGGTTCTAAAAATGGTGTTATGTTGTGTTATCTGTAATCTTACTTGCCTTTGTACCTATCAATAGTGGCCTTCCAAATTTAGCATGACATGGTTTAGGTATAATCGCAATTTTGTTAACTGTTGAAGCCTTTTCTTCATTTGGACATTTTACCGCTAGTAAATTAGAATAACTGCATTTTTTTAGTCTTTTATTAAATGTGTATGTTTGATCCATGCTCCAGCTGAACTGATGTAAGAATGAAACATGTTCAAATGTGGCTTATCAGTATGACATCAGTAAAATTTAACCTTCACAGAGGAATCAGACATCACCTGCCTGAAGGTATCAGACTGTACCAAATGACTATGGAGACTATTTGTGGGCCTGTTTAACAGGTCCTTAAAAGTGCTTGATGTCACTATTAAAATGGGAAAGTAAACCCTGTAGTTCTCTGTTCAACCTAATTTGCTGTGGAAAAAAAATGAAAAAAAGAATAGCATCTCTCATCTGTCCATGATAACTGTCCTGAGTGGGAGTTTCAAAATGTAGCTAAAACCTCTCCAGAAGACTCCATATATTTGTAATATTTGATTACTCTGAACATGCCAAATCCATACCCAAATGTTTTTACAAGTCTTAAGCATTCGAGAAAAGAACATAGAAAAGATTGTGGTAGCACATAGAAAAGATTGTGGTAGGCTGGTTGTGCCTTCAATGTGGGAAATGCTTTCCATAAATAAAAATAACCAGTGTTATTCTTTCCAATTGGAAACAGACTGAAACTGCTGCAGTGGTCAGCTAGCAAGCCTCGTATGCTATTAGTGCCTATTGACAGAGGCCCTATTGTAAGAGACCTCATGGGCTAATTGCCAAAGACCTTCCTCTCTGAACTGTCCCCTCTTTACCCCTGCACTCTAGCCAGAACCAGGAGCATATCAAAAATTCACTGATTTAAGATTCAGTTTATTAAAGAGTATATGTGGTATTCATTTTTCTCTTCTTAAGATACTTCACTTAGGATAATGGTCTCCAGTTCCTTCCAAATTGCTGCAAAAGGCATTACTTCATCCTTTTTTATGGCTGAATAGTACTCCATGGTATACATATACCACGTTTTGCTAAACCACTCATGAATTGATGGGTACTTGGGTTGAATCCACATCTTTGCAATTGTGACTTGTGCTACAATAAATATTCAAGTGCAGGTGTGCTTTTGATAAAATGACTCATTTCCTTTGGGTAAATACCTAGTAGTGGGATTGCTGGATCAAAGAGTAGGTCTACTAGTTCTTTGAGAAATCATAAAATCATTGTATACTTGTATTTGGAAAACTTTTTTTTTTGAGACAGAGTCTAACTCTGTTGCCCTGGCTAGAATGCCATGGCGTCATCCTAGCTCACAGCAACCTCAAACTCCTGGGCTTAAGCGATCCTTCTGTCTCAACCTCCTGAGTAGCTGGGATTACAAGTATGCGCCACCATGCCCAGCTAATTTTTTCTATATATTTTTAGTTGGCCAATTAATATCTTTCTATTTTTAGAAGAGACAGGGTCTCACTCTTGCTCAGGCTGGTTTCGAACATCCTGATCTTGAGCGATCCGCCTGCCTTGGCCTCCCAGAGTGCTAGGATTATATGTGTGAGCCACCGCGCTTGACCAGGAAAACATATTTTAAACAACTGTAATTTAGGAGGAAGAAAAAAATGTATTTATTTTTTTTATTAGGTATTTTCTTTCATTAATACTGTCTATTGACATATCTCTGCTTGATTTTGAGAGTTTCCTTGGAAAATTGGTAAAATCTTACCTAGAATATAAATTTTTTCTCACACCTATGTGTTCAATTTATATCTATCCCCTAAGACTCTGTCATCATAACACGTCTACAGCTGTCGTCAGTAATCCTTGCATTTGTAGAGTCGAGTATATTTTGGGATGACTACTCAAGCTGCCCTTCACTTACCTGGGCTGGCTGATTTATGATTTCTGTACATTCAAACACAAATTACTCACCCAATAACATCAGCATTAAAATTGTGTGAATAACCTCCAAGACTGATTTCATAATCATTCTTTTTTCTAGACTTCATTAATGAACTACCCAAAAATTGCAAATTGCACCAAAGGCTGATATTCAGATCACAGTAATGAGCTTGATGTGTCAGGAAGCCAACAAATTACTTCTAACAGTGGCTTTTTTAGATTCCTCAGTAACTCTTTTTAAAGACACATATGATTTTTCAGTCTTGCAGTGACTCTCAGTGAAGCAGAAAATACCAGCCTGTTATTAATCTTGGATCTGTATTTGATGCTAAATGTAAGTTGATTTCTTATTGCTATTTTAACAGTTTCCCTTCCTCTTCAGTGTAACATTTCCACAAGAGGACAAAAGTGGCAAACCACAATGCAGATGTTTCCCCCATGAACAGAGCATACATGTCTTTGAAATGAGATAAAAGTTCCTCAGGAAAATGCCAACAAGTGTATTTTTATTAGAAAATGCAACCAGCTTCTTACGTGACTAAAACAAAATTGAAGCCTTTGTTAAAAGCAACCACATCGTTGAGGCTGCCCTAATATATCTGTGAGTTCATCTTATTAAAAGGCAACTTAGACTGCTAGTGTGTTTAAGTTAGGTCACAAACTCCCAAAACTGCCACTGGCTTGTAAACTGATTTAAGACATCATTTTTCTTCTTCTCTGCCTTCTCCATCTTTTGTTCTAAAAGACCTGCGCTTGTATGGCATCATTTTTCTATGCCTTCTCATCTCTTTTCTCCCTGAGTAGAAATTATATTCTCTCGGGTTATTTCCTGTCAGTCATATACTCTTCTGGGACTTCCGTTTCCTTCTAAGTGTTTGCACCCCTTCAGCACACATTCCTTCCATTGGATTAACTGGACCACATGAGGACAATTAAAACCATTTCAATCCCTTTAATTAATAATAGTTGATATTTATTGGGAATTACTATATGCTAGGTACTGCTCTAAGCACTTTATAAATATTGTCTTATTTAATCCTACATAAGTACTATAATATCCTATTTTACAGACAAGGAAATAAGACAAGACTTAAGAAACTTGCCCAAAGTTAGAAAGATGATAGATGAAAGAACCAGAGTTTATTTCTCATGATTTCACTGTACCTACCCAACTGTG